TTACTTTTACTAGAATCTTAGCTTTTCTCTAAAAGAGACTTTATAGTTTCTTCTTTCCTACTAGTCCCTGCTACTATATAGAGGGGGACTCCAGTTCTTATATTATAAGGACTAATTATAGCCTTAATACTATCTACTATATAGCTAGTATCCCCTATTACTATAACTATTCCTTTAGTCTTAATTAGAGAAATAGCTATTCTTAGTTTTACTATTAGTTCCAGACTCTCCCTAGGGGGGGTAGGCAGTATTTATATCTAGACCGGTAAGATCTATTGTTTTATAATACTATTATAGTCTGGTTACTTTCAGAAGGTCTAATATATCTTATCTCCTGAGTTCTGCTTTATTTAACTAATTAACCTTTGTATTATTAGTAGATAGTTCTATATATATTACCTTTAACTTCGGATTAAGAGTATTATATACTCTTAGCAGCTATTAGAGTATACTTATCTCTCTATATATAACTACCTATTAGAATACTTTAGCTATATAATTATATAGTAATTAATTCTTATATAGATCTTCTTTAGAGAATATTATTAAGATAAGCTTTTTTAATACTATAGTAGGTTATAAACTAAATTGCTTTTTTAGTACTATCTCCTATTATTTAAAGAATAATCTGATTAATAGCTTCTTAATTATATCCAGTTCTTACTACTACTAGACTAAAGCTCTTCCTCTGAATAATTACTATAGGTTTATTCTGATATATTTAGCTCTCTTATAGCTGCCTGAGACTACTATATCTTATACTGTATTTAGCTATAGGGTTATATTAGTAAACCCGGTTTAGGTTTTAACTATAAAGACTTTATTATTATTAGTTAGCTCCTTACTTATATCTAGCTAGAAGATACTAATATTAGTTAATTTCTATTTAGGTATATATATATCCTATAAGACTCTAATTACTTCTTACTAGTTTAGGTTTAGATTTAGCTATTCTTAGTTCTATACTAACTGGGTAATTATTACTTAATTATACCCCTGTATATTAGATATATTCCAGGCAGGGTTATTCTACTCTGTAGATATAATATCCTTTAACTGAATTAAGTTTATACCTACCCCTGGTACTACTAGGGTAGCTGCTCCTATATTTAAATTAATAGTCTAAGAGATAGTAGCTAAGGTTTCTTTTCCTTAATTATCCTGGGTTTACTTAGCCTTAATCTATCTATAGTTAGCCTTACTATTTTTAGATCGAGTTAGATCTTCTAATAGTATAGATATCAGTTTTTCTAGCTAAGCCGGGTTATTCCTAGAGGTAGATACTACTAGTATAGTTTAGTTACTATTTAATATAGTTAATTAAATAAGTATCTACTTAAGTAAAGTAATAGTTATTAATCTTATCTCTATAAGAATATCTAAATTCCTCTAGAGACCCTCAGTTATTTTATTTATTAGAATAGTATAATTATTTCTAACTTCCTCTATAACTATTCCTAGATCAGCTATCCTTAGGGTAAACTTTAGCTCTAGAAAGAGTAGTTTTTTATCCTTCCCTAGTAATAGGCTTTCGGATATTATTAGAATAGAGTATTAGATTAGGGTATCTCTTCTCTATATTATTCCTATTAAGTCCGAACTTTTATTAGAGCTAACTATAGGATTTAGGGAGGGAGATCCTTATTTCTATATTTAGCTATTACTTAGTAATAACTTAGGATTACCTAGTCTTTCTCTTTCTAGTATATATATCTAGAAATACCTAGGAATAGATCTAACTAGTAGGGGTTATTCTTATAATTATATAAGATATTCTGAGCCTAGCTATATCTTAACTAGAGTTCTCTATCTTTATATAGTTAAGAAGGTAATAGGGGTATTTTCAGGGTTTTTACTTATATCTATATCTATTTATTCCCTTAAGGTTTTATTTTCTACTAACTCAGCTTCTAAGTCTTCTGAATATAGTAAAGTTAGTCTGCTTACTAGTATAATTCCCAGTCCCTAGGCTTTTAAAATAATATACTTTATAGAGTTCCAGATAGCTCTAACTATATATTAGTTAATTAAGTTCTAATAGATTAGAGCTTTAATATTCTGCTCTTTTAGTAGCTGAAAAAATAGGTATTTAGAGTTAATTTATTTAATAAATATCTTAACTGATCGGGCTATAGCTATTATTTATAATAATCTACCTTATAGTATAAAGTTTAGGTTATTTTTAAGAAAGTTAGTAACTCAGTATATATATTTAATATCAGATATATTAAGGTAATTATTTCTTAAACTAGCTCCAGCTAGTATCTGGCCAGGTGTTTCTTTTATTACCCTCTCTTAGGCTATTAAATTAAGTATTTAAGGTCTTATAATAATAGAGAATTACTACTACCTATTATACTTAGAACTAGCTATAACCAGCTTAGGCGTTATAGATAGGTTCTTAGTTATTAACTACAGGGTAGCTATAGTTAGATAGCTTGTAGTTAAAGCCTAGGTTTATAATACCTTTACTTATATATAAGATAATATAATTCTTAAGGCTTAAGTTCTTTCTATCTACTGGCTGTTTATAGCCCTTTTATAGGGGGCTCCGTGCAGCCCCTGTTCGTAGCATGACAAGAGGGGTTAATTATACTATCTCCCCCTAGTCCTTCTAGTATTTCTTTTTAAGGCCTTTAATATATAGTATAAGTTATTTAATTATTTACTAAGCTATTAGTGCTTTTAGAGTATTATTTACTATTCTAGAGGTAGATATATTATCTTTTATTATTATATAGTGATTAAGATAAAGTAATTAGCTAAATAAGAGTTATTAATATATAATAGTTAATAGACTTATACTAAATAGAGTTTAGGGTAGGTTAGGGTTAAACTAATTAGAGATATTTTAAGTAGTATAATTAGATTATCTTAGTACTATATAAGTTACTATTAATATATAAGTACTAAGGAGTTAGTTTTAATAAAGGTAGTAGTAATTATATTAATAACTATCTAAGAGAGTATTTCTATCTAAGAAATAAATATATATATATAGTAGAAGCTTTACTAAAGCTTTACTTATTCTTTACTTAGACTTTACTTTGCTAAAGTTAAGTTATTAGCGATTAGTCGCTAAGGTGGGTCCAGCAGTCCACCTTGCATGTGACTTCCTGCGGCCTGGCGGAGGCCTTTGTTCATAACAGTTTATAGTGAACTAACCTTAATTAGGCTAATTGCGTTAGATTACACGATGCCTCGGTTCTAATACTAACTATTCATAAGGCACTTAAAACCTAATACAGGCTTTATAGAGTAAGTCGAGATTAATTAGGCCCCGCAATATAATGATAACTCCCTCCCACCAGATAGTACTTCACACTAATAGGCGTCGAGGCTTCTAGGGGCACTAGACCTATATAGTCGTCTAATGAGGGTGCACTCTAGGCAGACGTGGCGCTAGCTAGCACTCGCTAGCTTTACAGATATTAATAAAACGGCCATTAGAGTGTGTTATAGTCCTTAGTTAGAGGATGAAAATGCGAAGGAGGTAGGGAGATGGTTTAATACGGGACTCTTAGAGGGCCTTATAGCTTTGTCTCTCTCGGCCATGGTAACGATACTCGGCATGTCTGAGGAAGAAGTGGAAGTCCTTTGCGATAAAGTTAAACAGGAGATATGCACACGGAGTTACCATTACTTGTAAGAGCTGTGACATACGAACTACCAGGTAAAAGAGGCAGAGGCAATTTTGTAAGGCAAAATGAATCTCGTTGTAACTAAATAAAGCAGGTACAGTCGCAGTTCCAGAGGCTAAAGTGACGCCGATACTGAACGTTATGAACATCAACATCTGCCGTTTGTCCCTTGCTGCGCTCAACGCACTATGAGCCACTGCGAAACCTAAAGTAGTGCTGAGATGAGTGATAAAGGGAAGGGCCCACATGATCTCTAGGCCCTGATCGAAAAGCTTGCACGCAGCCACACCTAAAAATAGAGCAGATGCGGTTGAGTTCAAGATGAAAATCAATCTTATTACCGGCTTCTGGTCGGCGGCCAGCGAAATAGGATATGTAACTTCTAGGATCTTCGTTTGTGAGTCGATTTCCTGCTAAGTGAAGGCTAACTTACTACTGCTGTGGTCGAACATATTGTTGTCGTTACTTCCAAGGCGTGTAACTGCCACAGAGCAAAGGCTATGAAGTACCTTCCGCCAAAGATCTTCATGGGAAAGTATACGGCTACAATGTAGCGCCTAAATTGAGGACTCGAGACCTAAAACTTGGTCAGTGGTGTCCACAATAGAGTTTGCTAGAACCTTCCTAATCAGTATTTGTCCACTCTAGCCTCAAAATGCCAATCTCACTTCTGAAACCCATATTAAAAATCAAATACACTAACAAACTTTGAATGTAAAATCTCAGCCCACGTACATCTAACCGTACCCTATGGCCTATACTTACGCTTCTTACATTTACGCGTCCCCTCATCCCGCAATTGCAAGCTGTTGGTTACAGGAAGCGCATGCCTCCTTCTCTGCCTCCACCTTTTTCTCGTACTTGTAGCTTGACCTCCTCTTATCATGTCAAACGGCCTTGAGCGCCTGAATCTCTTTCTCGAGTTTCTGAGGAGAACTCATTGCCTCGGCGTGGCCTGCCATTGGTGGCTTCCAGCTGGTGTGGAGACCCAGACTGTCTGGGCCCATCACCCGCTATGTCGCACGAACAAGCTTGCCCCATCTTCACGACGAACCCCAGTGGTCTGATTGGTGGCCTCTACCCCCAAAGCGAATGCCACCAGTTGTATGAGGCCGTGTCCGTAAGAGGCCCCTACGCTGAAACTGGAAATGACCCCCATACATATTCTGACATGATTTATACCCGACAGTATCACTCTCATCCTTCATCAGCTTCGCCTGTAAGCTCAATGCGAGGCCTCCCAGTCATCTAGTCTATCAATACTG